CAAGGAATTGTTACCTTGCCATGATGCCTTGTCTCTTCCATGGGAACAGCCACCTCCAGATTAGCAGGGAACACAGGTCCTAGGCTGATATTCTTGTTGGCCCCCTCAGCATGTCTAATCAAATGTGATTAGACTCTGCCCCCCTTGACTTGGGCTGTGACCTGCTCTCTTTTATGCAAGCCCAGTCCATATTCTGGGAATTAGAAGAGGGAAAAACTGCTGCCAATCTCCCTGTATCGGTGATAGTCTGTGTTCTCTGCTGGCCTTTCTTGCTGGTCTTCCTGTCAACACCCTCAGCATGCCAGATCCTGGCTTGGTTTTCTGTTTGCACTCAGGGTGTTCCTTCCTTGTGAGTGTTTGGTGGAATAAGGGTGTGTGTTGTAAAAAACTGGTACCTGTTTGGTCCGGGTTAAATCTCTGAAAGTTCAGACAGGTAAAAATTCTTCTCTTGGGGCAGGAAATCTGCAGATAGAATTAGAAAGGGTCACAGAAGACTGGAATGAAGGAGTTGAACCTAGGGCTGCTTCAGAGAACATTTGAGCCTGGGGCCTGCAAGGGTGGAGCCCAAAGTCTTGAGCAACATTATTCATAATCATGAGCAAAAGTAGCAGCAGTATCACCACTGCTGACTGCTTGTGGGTATCATGCAAAGTCTTTGAGCTTTTCCCTCACTGCTGGTGTGCAGATAATAGTGCATAGGAACCTCCTTGTGACGTTACAGTTCTCATCAGCCCCAGTCTTCGTTCTGTCTAACGCTGGATGTTCTTTTTGCCTTCAACTGTGTTAAAAACCAACCAACTGACCAACCAAAAAGAAAAATAAATAGGGGAAATCTTCTCGCAACTTGATGGAGGCACAACTGAGCTTTGTGCATCAACCTGTGTTTGCATTAGATAGGAAGCACATGGCATGAAGGAAATGTATAATTGCACACTTCCAAGTAATTGCCTGGTACGTAGTTTTATATAAGCCATTGTTGGCTCTTATCTGGCCTCAGGAAAAGACAAATGCACCTGCATGCAGAGGTTGCTGTTTTATTGTTTGTTTGCTTTTTGTTGTTTGTTTTTCTTTCTGTTGATGCTGGGGGGTTGCTCTTATTAATCACAACAGGAATTGAGGATCGGTTGTAATACCTCCCAGAGACAAGATGTAAAAAAAACTTTCTTAACAGAACTGGATGCTCAAATGATCATATAAGATGCATGTGTAGCTCATGGAAAGTCAAGCCCTAGAAAGGGATGGGGACTTCCACAGTCAGATCCTTTTCTCTGGACATTTGTTGAGGAGGATTATGTCATAGGAAGTTAATTTTGCATTTAAGCATGTGCAGCTCATTAACTTGTGTGCAATCAGTAGCATGCTGGAGATTTCATTCTTCTTGTGTTTCAGCTACTGTGCTCATGCTGGACTGCGAGCTGTTGGTTGGTTTCTGTGCATCATTTTTTCGTTTTGCCTCAGGAAACCTAGTCCTCTTGCAGGACTTCCTCAAATGGCCTTTATTGGGGAAGGTGAAGCATCTTTCTCGGGCACAGAAGTGCTGTTTAGGAGCAAGTCTTCTCTCAAATCCTGCCCATTGCATGGCCTAGACTGGTTGGAATTTAGTGGAGGCCAAAGGTGGGTGGGTAGGTGGGCAGGAGTGAGGAAGGTGCTTCTTTGTGGCTTGTCTTCTTTCTTCACCTAATGCCCCAGGTTAAAACAGTCACTGTCCCCTTCCTTTCCAGCTCAGTATCTGGGACTTCACTGCCTGAACTGCACATGGAGGAGGTGACGTCCCTGCCCTGCTGCAGGCTGGGCAGCTGAGAGTGAGGGTGGCCAGTGGGGAGACGAGCTGGTTTTATTGCAGGTACAGGGCTGTGGTAGCTGTTTAAACACCATCTGGGCTGGAGTGGGCAGCCAAGTAGGGTTGCTTTTCTCTGTAACCATCCCCCGGGTCAGACACACCTTAGGCAGAAGCTACTCTTTGCTTTTATTATTCCTGGCACGTTGCTTTTTTCTTGCTGTGATTTTGTTTCCTGCTCTACGTTCTGTCATTTCTCAGGTCATTTGAATAAACATCCTGCAAAATCAACATCAGAGGTCCCTTTGACAGCTCTTGTTTGGGGCTATTCGGCAGCATATGGTGTCTCAGTGAAGTCTTGCTCAGCTGGCTTGCTGGATTCTACTGTACAGGGAGACGGTGTGTTATTTCTGCCAGGGTCAGAGTCCAGAATCCCTGTGGCTGTTAAATGAACACGTGCGTATATCTGTATGTGTTACAGTTTCAGTACCAAGACTGTACTCTTGGTCAGGAATATAAAGAAAGCAGATGATGGAAGAGAGACAGGAACTGACAGGCTGCATGAAACATGAGCTGACATCCTGCCCTAGTCCTAAAAGGGAGGGATCCCTTTGGGGTTTCTGCTGGTTTCCGACCTGCTATCGTTCTGTTGTTTCCATATTTAAATAACAAGTAGTGTTGGTTGTGATGCAGTGATTGGCCCTGGCATGAAGCCAGCCCTGACTTTGCCTACCTGCTGTGTGCATTGGAGTTTGTCCCCACACCTGTGGACACAGGTTGCAGTGCGTGGCTGGCTTAGCCAGTCTGGCCCCACTTGGCACCCACAGTGGTGCCGGAAAGGGGCAGGGTGGCCTTGGGTCGGCCTCAGTGGCACAAATCTGATACTGCAAACTGGAGTCACCAGGGCTCCCTGCAGGCACGGAGCATCTGGCACGTTAGGGACAGCCTCCTTCATACACGTTGTGCTGGACTTGGTGGGAAAAGAGTCTAGCTTTGGATTGGTGCCTCTTAGCTGACCGTGACTCATCTCTGAAGCACTGGAAGCTACTGGTGGTAGGTGCCACCTAACTCCGGAAGAGGTGGGTGCCACCTCATGGAGGTGGTTCGTGTGGGACCTGACTGACCTTGCCAAGCAAGTCACTTGCAGGTAATGCTGAGCTCACTCTGGCAGGACTCTTTGCAACTTGGGGATTAATCCCAACTGTAGGGTTTATCCATTTTATCCGTTATGGATGCACATCTGCCTGCCCCTTGCCCCTTCCCAATGAGCTCGACGCAGTGTCAGCCTCTCCTCTTCGATGGCTGCCTCCTTCCACCCCTTTTGTGTGGGGCGAGGAGGTGGCAGCCTGCAGGTTTGTGCTCTCATTCCTTCCCTTGTCATTGTCCTCAAGCTGCTCAGCCTGGGCCAGAGTCCTGAGGTCTTCCAAGATCCCTTGGGCAAACTGGAGTTCCTGTTTCGGGGATGGCAATAGGGAAGGCAGAGCCTTATTCTCATGTGGTGTGAATCTGTGTCACTTGGTTGTAGCAGGACGTGGGGATCAGTGCTGTGGTGAAATGCCAAGGGCAGCACGGAGATTTTGTTCTCCCGCGGTGTTTTTAGATGCTTATCCTGTGTGTCTGGGACACAACTGCAGTGACAGTGTGTTCTCCCCGCCGTTTTAGTCCATCCTGCCATGGCTGTGATGGCTGTGACTGCTGTGGTGCCTTTCACAGGACAGCCTCTCGCTTGCTCTCCGTTGGCCGCTGTTCAGAGCTGTGCTGCCCTAGGGGTGTGGGACACAGGGCAGGAAGCAGGATTAGTGGAGAGGCCAAAGAGTCTTTCAAGGGAAGCAAAGGCAAAAGCGAGCACATCCTGAGGTGCCAAGGGCTGTGGCTTGGGAGTGTTTCTAACCACATGCTGCCCTTGCTGACAGATCCACCACGGTCGTCCCTGAAGTGCTGGGCTGGAACCTCCTCCTCGGGACAGATGCTGCAGCTGTTTTGCAGCTGGCCTGGTGGGTCCCCTCACCCCACCTTGCACTGGAGAGAAGAGGGGGGCAATCTGGAAAACACGAGCTGGGTCATCAGCTCCACGAGCTCCGCCGACACCCACGTGGAAACGCTCAACAGCTCCCGCCTCTCCCACCGCAAGACGTTCAAGTGCGTCGGGAGCCACGTAGTGAAGCAGGAGGAGCCCGCGTGCACCGTGCAGATAAGTGAGTTGGCCTGCCCGCTTGTTCGGCTATTAATGAGCCTGCTAATGGCAGGGCAGGCAGGTGCCCAGGCGTTCTCTGCCCTCCAGAGCACTAAAGTGGTTGTCAGGCCAGCCAAGCTCGTGGGCACTTGCTGCAGAGGGAGATGCCAGCAAGGCAACGTGGCGGGGCTTGGCTTGGGCACAGGTGGCCACACGAGGCACGCAAGTCCTGCAGCCCAGATGCAGCGTGGTAGTTGCGGGTGAGTCATGTCTTTGGATACGTTTTCACGGGCTGACAAATGTGCTCCTTGCACCAAGCTTCTGGCCTGTGCAAACGCTTGTGTCTGTGGCCAGGATGAGGAAAGTGAGGGGCAATTTTAGTGAGTTGCTGGAGATAAAGTTTAGCAGGGCTGGTTTTATAGCAGGAGGGTTGTCTGTGCTCAGACCCCCTCGGGTGTCTAAGGAGGGGTGACTAAAGTGGCTTTTGAAAACCTATGCTGTGTTTGTGGGAAGTCCCTGGGCTGCCTTTCCTCTGACACCTTCTCATCCAGGGCTGCTGGCTGCCCTCCGGGGAGCCTGCTTTGGGGATATCAAGTCAGGGGTCCAAGCAAGCTTTGAGAGGTGCAAAAAGAGCTCAGACTGCTCCTTGAGGGGGCACTGAAGAGTCCTGTGGGTCAGCTGAGTGCTAAGCCTGCAGTGTTTGGCCTCCTGCATGACTTCCTTCTGTTAATGATTATTAATCACTCAGATGGCTGATAGCTTGCTGCATGAATTTTCCCCATCCCCTTCTTGACTCTCTTCTCCCCCCTGCTATTCAGAGAGACCTTCTTTGGAGTCGGAGCCCCTGCAGACCTGCTTTGTGGGTGACGATGTGACCCTGACGTGCCGCGTCACCGAGAGCACCCCAGCAGCAAGGCTCAGCTGGCTGCAGGGCACCGGCCGGGCAGCGGTGGAAATCCAGCCCGGAGGGAGGTACCTCGTCACCCAGGAGGGCAACGTGTCCCGGCTCACCATCCAGAACTGCTCCCAGGACGTCGACGATGGCTGCTATGTCTGCAAGGCGCAGAACCCCGTGGGGCTGAGGGAGATTTTCATCTGCCTCACGGTGAAGCGTGAGTGGGGCTGCCTGGGGTCAGGGTGGCAGGGGGTGAGGAGACAAGGGCACAGATAACAGCAGCCACCGGAGAGCTCCCAAGGGGCTCTCCAGAAATCCACTCTCCATGCTGGCAGGATGCAGCTGCATGCACGGATGTGGGCTGGGGTCCCTCCATCCCACAGGGCAAGGAGAATCAGGCCTTCCTGCTTCGGTGTGAGGGGCCTGGGAAAGGGCTGCAACATCCTTGGCTTCTTCTTTAAGTTGTGGGGACAGAGAAGCATCTCCCCAGGCCAAGCTGTTCAATCCCAGCAGCTGAGGCTTGGTTTGCTTTCACATGGTGCACGTGACACAAAAATGAAGGGTTTTGCTGTAGTGTTTTCCATCTCAGTGAGGCATGAGCTCCCATCGTGCTGGTGGGACTGCAGCAATGACGGGACACAGAGATGGAGGTGGCCTTTGGGTACCCTGTCACGTGTGCTGAGCAACCCCTGTCCTAGTGACAAGCGAAGCTCCTCTCTCTGCAGGGCCAGTGAATATCGTTGGGGTAGTGGGTGCAGTGGTGGTGCTGTCCCTGCTGGCTCTTCTCGTCCTCTCCGGCATCGTCCTGTACTACCATCCCCTGCTGTGTCTCAGAGGTAAGAGCTCGCCTTGGTGCAAGCCAGGGAGCGGATTATTCTGTTTTGGAGTGTCCTGGTTTTATCCCACAATTTCAAGGGCTTGCTTGTCTCTTTTGGCCTGCTGGAGTCTGCCACTGACTTGGATTTTACCCCATTCCTGGTAAAAATCCTTTCTGCCTTGGAGGCAGAGGGATTGGAAATGCAAAACCTTTCTCCAGCTGAGTGTTCCAGACTCCTTCCCCTCTCTCTCTTCCCCTGAGATGTGTACTGTGCCAGAGCAACCCTGCACTTCCCTTTCCTAGCGACCTCTCTAACACATCTGATGTGGGCAGGCTGACTGCTTTCCCATCCCAGTGGGGTGGAGAACCACCTTTCCATCCGTACTGCCGCATGGGACTGCTGAAGGTCTTCCCTCTGTGGGCAGGACACACAGGGATTGTACAGTAAATCCGAGGGTGCTTTGCCTGAGGGGTTGCTCAGGGATTCTAACATTGTCTTTTCTGTTTTATTGTCTCCTGTTCAGGTACTGCATTCAGGTGAGTGTTGACTTTTCCCAACTCAGTCCTTGTTGAACTCGCTGGCATCGTAGCAAACACCTTCTGTCTATAGGGATGGTGCTGGCAAGGCACCTGGTAGTGTGGGAGCAGGCTGCCCAGAAGAGGTCTTTGGGGCAAGAGAGGTGGGAGGGCTCTATTCTGAATGTCTCTTTTTCCGCATCTGTACAAGAGAGGAAAGTAACTCCTTTCAGGAACTGCTCTTGAAGTTTAGCCCGTGTTTGTGATATGGTTGGAAGGCTTTGGAAGATAAATGGGAAGCAGCACAGATTGCTGTTGGTGGTGTTGCCACCAGCAGGGTCCAAGACATATTCCTCAAACACGGCCAGTGCAGGATGGGAAAAGTCCACCAGAATCAGTCACGCTGCTGTATAGCACTAGCAGAGCCTGGAGGGACGGGGTCAGGACAAGCTGTCTTCATCTTTCAAACCCACCACGGCTTCCTCTGCTATTCACAGAAATCCAGACTCGAGCGATATCTTGGTGCTGGTGGACTCAGAAGACGATGATGAGGGTAACGGGGAAGAGGAGATACCAGGCAGCTCCACCAAGCACGAGGTGATGGCGCTGGTCAATGGGACGAGCACCCGGCCTGCTCACCTCACGCACCTTGTGGAAGGTGAGCGCTAGTGCCTGCTCCCTGCCTGAGTTCTGGGGCTGGAGTCAGCTGCTCTCTTGCTAAGCTGCAGGTCTTCCAGAAGCGTCTGCCAGGGGAGAGAGGAATTGCTGTTCCCTGCCTCACTGGCTCTCGTTGTGACACTGCTGCTCTGTGCCCGGTGTAGGTGGTGCTGGTGAGCAGCACGACAGGGTCTCGCCGCAGGAAACGAGGAGGGAAGACGCACCAGTCACGTAGCTTCCATTCCTTTTTGTGGAAATGCAGAGTGCTCCAGCTGGAAGCCCAGTTTCAAATGCATCCTCATTACCATGTGGCTGAACCCGCGTTGTTAGGGTTGTACAATGGACTGGTTTGGTCAGAACATCCCCACTTCCTTCTACACTGGTCCCTTCCCCAGTTTTCACTCCATCCTTCCCCAGCTTTGTTTCTCCATTTCTTCTTCCTTCCATCCATCCTTCTGTCTTGGGTGTCCTTTTTAACTAGGTGGCATCCAAGGCAGGCAGAGCTCAGGAAATGGGAGCTCAGGCTCCCAGTAGCCCGCTCACCTTGATGCCTGTCACAGACTTGAATGCCAGTATGGAATTCTGGTCACCATGAGTAGTGCCGGGGTTGCGGGGATCACCATGGAGAAAGTCACCTCGAGCAGGGTGTCCTAGGACAGCAGGAGGATCTACTTGTGTGTGGGCAGGACATGAGTGATGCAGGCTCTCTGGGGAGGCCTGATGGGTTTTATTATAAATATTTTTTTCTCCAAGTTCATCTGAAATGTTGCTCTGTACTGAAGAGAGAGGAATTAATCTGTACTGTGCAGTTTTGGTGGGGACAGCAGGTCATGATGGAAAGCACAGAGGGAGAGTAAGGGGAGGGGGAAAAGGGGATTAGGATGTGCATGGAAGAAAAAGGTGAGTAGGGCAGCCACAGAGGGGAACTGCAGGGATCTGAGCATGCAGCAACGGGGGAATTGGAGGGAAGCAGAGGAGTCCGAGGGGAATCGGGATGCATGGGGGGAATGGAGGCAAACAGCACGGACTGAGCGGGAATGCAGAGAATCCCAGCGGACGTTTGGGTCAGGAGGGTGCACATGGGGAATGGAGAGGATGAGGGTGCGAAAGGAGCGATATGGAACATGTTGGAATGTGTGTGGTGGGTAACAGGATCAGAGGGGCCAGACCAAACCTGAGCACTGCAGGCATATTGGAGGGAATAACGGCACGGGGGAAGTGGGAAGGAGCAGTGTTTGCGGATAGACTGCGGAGGGAATCGGCACCCGTGAGTGGGAGTGGTGCTCGGGCGGGTTCGGGGGGAACGGGAGTTGCACAGAGGGCTCTGAGGATGCATGGAGGGGGCCGGGGTCAGGGCCCTTGGGGGGAACACGCTGTGTAAAGTGGGGAGGTGTGTGGAAAGGCACGTGGAGGGCAGCAGTGTGAATGTGAGCACAGGGAATGGGGGATGATCAGAGCGCCTGGAGGGTAAATGAAGACATTTAAGCACATGCGCATAATGGAGAGGCTCTAGAGGCACGTGGAGGGGAAGGGGGGACTTAGGAAGGCACGTGGAGAAGTGCAGAAGGAAGCCGTGTTCACGCCATGGGTGAAGCCGAGGGGTCTGAGCCCACACCCTGGTGGGGAGAACAAGAGTGGAAAGGATGAGAGCTGAGCAGGTAGGGACGGGATGGGAGAGCTTGCGTGGGGATCTGGTCGGGCACAGAGCGCTTGGGAGGGCAGCGATGGCTGAGGAGGAGCCGAGCGCAGCCCAGGGGCTGGGGGAGGCCGAGGTGGATGCGGGATAAAAGGAGGGCTACGGATGGGGCCGCAGCACAGGCTTAATGCTGAGGAGAATCCTGGAGCGCAAAGGCCGAGTCCTGTGGGGACACAGAGCAGCAAGGCAGGGGACAGTAAGGCTGCAGGCCAGGGGCTTTGGAAGGATCTGGAGCCAAACGGGATGGCCGGGGGGGATGGAGCAAAGGGAGGCGGGCAGGCAGAGCAGCGTGCGTCACCCTGGCGTCCCCAGCGGGGCTGAGCCTGTGCCTGGTGGCAGCAGGGAGAGCAGGGGACACCACCTGGGGAGGCCCGGCTGCCTCCTGGCCCTGGCAGGACTCCCAGGCCCCGGCAGGCAGAGCGCTCCAGCCGGGAGGCAGCCAAGGATGCCGGGAGCCAGAGTGCCGAAATGTCCCCGGGCGCCCCGGCAACGCTGTTGTGCTGCCCGTCGCCTTGGCTCCCGGCTCCGCGCGCTCCTCCGTGCCCGCCCGCGGCTCCCGGCCCCGGGGGGTTCCCTGCCGACATGGCCCT